CTCCTGCGACACAGCGCCTTGCCGTGAGCTTTGCTGGCTGCAATCCCTGTTCCTAATCCAGGCTCGTTTCGGGGGGAACAGGTGATTTTTATCAAATTTCTTTACTGTCCTTTCACATGGGTCTTAGCTGCTAATGATGCTAGGAAGTAAAAAGAAACGGGAATAGAAATACACAACTATGAAGAATTAAAATAGCGAATTTAATTCAGCCGGTTCCAATAATTCCCTGAAAAACAAACCTTGCACAGAAAACACAGAACACAAATGTTTTTGTCTTGACAGCTGGCGGTAACAACTGAGTGAAAAGGTGAATGGAGTGTTTCTGCCTTCTCTGAAAAACAAAAGGTGCCATACGTTCAGAAAATGCCCCTTGTTTTTTGGAGGTAGCTATGGGAAATGCTTTGGAAGGAAAGCAGAGGTCTATACTCCAACTCAAGCAGTAATTGCAGATGCCCACGTTGAAATGTTTTACAACTGTCTGGTTTTCAAAAAGCGTTTACGCTTCCTTAAAGAAAATCCTAAGCCCTACGAGGGCTTTACTTACCGATGTGACGGGAACGCTCTCGCAGCCCGTGCTGGGGGAGCGAGCTGGACAGCCTGGCTCTGTTTCCCTCAGCACTGGAATACTTTTTCCAAACCAGTACCAAAAAAGGTTTGTTTCTAGGTCAAGACCTCAGTACTAAATTTTAACCAGGGGCTGACAGTCAAATCTGAGCACAGCTGTAAAACGGATTCGCAACAGAAGCTGAGGCATTCTTTTTCTAATTGGAAAACAGTCACTGAGCCTTGCGCCTTTAAAGGTGAAAGCTATTTTTGACATAAAAATTAGCACGTAGTTCCTCCGTCATCCTTCAGTTGCTGCTCTGGAAGCTGTGAGCGAGTGATCCAAAGATAAGAAGCATAAACACGCTGAATTAAATGAACAGGTAGAAGGGGATCAAGTTTTAAGTTTTATTCTGCCTGACAATTAGGAGAGGAAGAGGTTTATTTTTACACTTAGCTATTTATCCTAAATTGCACCAGTAAGAAGGTCCACTTAAGCGGTGAGACAGACCTCAAAGGCATTTAAAAACTCGAAGTGCTTTTAATAGCTGTCTTTTGAAAATACTGTTAAATCTATTTTTGAGACAGATGAACTTAAGCCACCAGGAAAGCAAGGCAGGAGTTTTCAGAAGGGAAAAACTGTAGTCCTCTTCTCAACAACTCAGCTCCCATCTGGGGACCCTAAGTGGTGAGATAAAAAACTACGAGAGTGCTGGATGCTTTTAAAGACCTGAGCGTTCGTTAAGTCCAAGTTTTCCTTCCTTCTTTCTTTGGTGGGAATCTAACCCGGACAGCCTTGAAAATTAACCTCAGCCAGCTTTCAAAATACGGCTCAGAGTGCCTGTTTCTAAAATAAAAGTGAGCGGAGAGCGAGCAGAACTTGGAGGGCTTATCACCACCAGTAATGCCACCGACTAATCCCTCGGCAGCCCCGGCCCCTTTATGTAACCCGGGATTGCTGCAGCTCAAACAGCTTATTGGGGTTTTGGTGTTTTTTCTTTAAACCTCTCGCGGACAAATGCAAACACATTAAATACTTTTTCTTCTGCCACTCTAACGAAAAAAGTTGTTTTAAGAGGGGGGAAAAAAATTCCTTTATTTGTGAACAAATAGAATTTAACTCATACGCTGAGAACAACACGTGGGTTTTTTTCCCTCTCATCCATGATCTCAACTGGACAGAAATCTGCCCAATTTACAACACTCAGGGATGACTCTCCAGTGGTAAGACACAAAAGGTCGAATCCCAAATTTCTCCTCACCCCAAGCACCCTCCGGCAGTGACAGGGTGTTCCAAAGACAGAAAAAAACGTGCCCAAGGTAGAGCGTTTCCATGATTTCCTAGCAGCGTGGGTGGCTGTGCCATTATACTTCCTTCCCCGCAGCGCCTCGCCAGCGCAGCCGGGCACCCGCCGGCTCTCCTCGCCCGGAGGACGGGCTTTCATGCCATTGATCCGACTGTTCTGACTTTCCACAGCACAAATCCTTCCAAGGCAAAATTCAACTTTAAAACTCTCAGCCGGTGCTAGGCCATTAACCTAATGCGGAATGCTTATGGAAACTTGAGAAGAAAAAAATAAAACCCCTATTGAGCTACATGCAACCGGAGACCTGAATGGGCTGGATCTAAAACCCACTCGAATCGACAGCAGCAATAGGCTTCCCTGCACGTTGGACTAGATCCAGCTTAAAAGTTTCCATGAAATAAACTAGGCTAAGCGCATCAGCTGCATAGAAACTAACTCGGTGTAACAGGAGCATCTGTTCTTCGCATCCACCATTTTCTCAGAGCCTCAACTCCCCAGCGCTGCGGCGACACGAGCTGCCCCCGCCAGCAGCTCCTCGCGCCGTGGGCGAAGTGGCGACTGGCAGGTGGCACGCACGCCGTACAAACTACTTGACCAGGCAGCTTTCGTTTGTCAAAAACCAGCTTAATGTATTTCGTATGATGGCATTACAAGTGAAATTAATGTCCGAATTGAGACAGCTGAGGAGCACACCTCGGAACCACTGATACACAGCACAAAGCAAATGTTTACCCAAGTACAAATGAAACAGGTTGACAATTAGCTAATGCAGCTTTGTGGACATAAACCAGGTACATTCGAGCAGAACCAACATAAAATAAAAAGGAAACAGCCCTTTTCCTATCCCACGCTAAGAGCACCGCGGTGAGTGGTTTGGGAAGCCTCTTGTCAAGGCTGAGAAATTTCCTTGCCGGTGTTTAATGTGTTTGTTCTACTGCTACACTGCCGGGGTAAAACCACCAGGAGCAGGGCACGCTCGCTGGACGGAGCACCCACTGTCCACACTGCAGTAATCGACAACATACAATTAAGTCTCACACCTGTTTATTGGAAGTAATTCATAGATAACCACTTCTAGTACACATTTTCATATTGGCTTTTAATGCTTCGGGTTTTTTCAGCTCAGGGACACCCAAATTTCCTCTAAGGGTCACCTCTGCCGTTTACCCAGATCCAGAACGCTACACCTGCTACGGAAAACTGGTGCCAGTTTTGGTATCATCGCCACGGGGAACAGAGATGGCTCAGAAACTACACATCCCAACATGCAAGGCCCCAGCGGCGCGGGGGCTCTACGCTACGGGGAGGACGGGGTTTTGCTGGGGTGCACTGGCCTCGCATGCCTCGTCTCGGCCATACCAGCCTGTCATGCAGCTGCCTGCACGCAACGTTCTACACCGTGCAAAAACGAAGACCTCTACACACCTGGAGTAAGAACAGTGGTAACAAAGTCATAGCTACATATTCTTCTCTACATTTTTGTTTATTGAGACAAACTAATTAAAAGGCACAAACATAGGGCATATGTTTACATGGACATTATAACAAACATATACATTAAAAGTGTAGGAATGTGTTTCCTTTCTGCTAAACAGAAAGTTCCTAAGCTTTTATATATACAAAAGTTGTACAATTTGATGTCCTAAAGTACAAAAGATCATTTATAAAATTATTTTACACTAAGCTCTATTATTTTTTTTTGTTTGTTTTTGTTTTACTATGTAGTCCAAGCCCCTAGAACAGTTTCACGTAATGATACAGATACCTGTCACCTGAGCCAGCAGCCTGGCAATCACTGCTGTACGGGCACGGGCACGGGCACGGCAGGGTGGGAACGGCAGCAGTCCATTCTGACTAGTCAGTCCTGCTAGCACTCTGTGAAAATGCACACACGCTAATCTCCATAGCTTCCAACTTCATCCAGATCAAAACATCTCCACTGTAATTTTTTTTTTTTTTTTAATGTAGAGTCTTGGGTTTTGGGTGGTTTTTGTTGTTTTTTGTTTTTTGTTTTTTTTAAACAAAGTTTTAAAAACGTGAATATGTGACATGATAGTCTAAAAAGTATATCTGTTTCCCTAGATTTTGCTTTCTACTTTATGTACAGATAAACAGGTTAAGAAATAAAAAGCACATGTAGCTTAAACATGTGTGACCATTTGTGACGAAGTTCTGGGCTGGATAGTTCAAACCATCACCCCACAACTCCCACAAATCCATAGAAATGTGTTAACACAATAGAAGAATAACGTAAAAATGATGATGTTTGCAAATATTTACAAAGTTGAACAGATTTGCACGACACTTGATTAAGAAATAGGGGAGAAATTAAAAGACGCTCTCTGCTTGTCCTGGAGGGGCATCCTACCTAGTTAGTGGTTAGAATAAAAACTGTATACAATTTAATATAAGACAAAACTTCTAGTGAACAACTAACACGTCTGTCCCCTGCTGTAACACCAGCAGGCTCTGACTGGGAGGCAGAGGGCATAAAAATCATCCCCAGTGCCTCCAGAATCTTCCAGCTTAAAGCAATATTTCTTAAGTTTCAAAGCACTCCTTTTGCTCCTAGATAAGAGTCCCATAGGGGTCTGACTGCTCAGAGACCAGGTTTACATACATTTCGACTCCTCTTCCGGCAGCCATGGCTGTTTCTCACCAAACAATAACAGTTTTTTTAAAAAAAATGTTGACTACAATGCTATATTCCCTTAGGGTAATATGTTGGGTTATATTTACATCTCCAAATATCAGGTCACAATCCCTATTATATGTTGAAGTTAGAATGATAAGTTATCATATGCTTTGCATATCAGAGCTGGTATCACCTTTCCCATAGGGAATGCTGCCTGAAATTACCATATTCCCAAAGGTAAAATGCATATTTTCTCCAAAATGCATTTTTTTTTTTTTAATGACAACATTGTAATTCATTTACTCGTAAAAAAAAAAAACATCAACACAGACAAAAGATTCTACACTAGCTCAGAAACAGTGGGCTTAACGACTGGCAAGTTAAAATCAGCCATCCACCCTGTTAAAGGTACAGAGGGGTCTTTGCTAGTGTTTAGATTAAAATAATTTGCTAAGTTATGATTTGGGGGATAAAACATACAACTGTTTTTTAATTACTTTTTTAAAAAAAAAAAAAAACTCTGGCAAATAAGTATCTGCTCTAATTCAGCATCAGTCAGCTACAAGGTAAAACTTACTTTAAATGAAGTGCTCCAGTGAAACTCAAGTTTGAACCACATGAGCCAAATCAAGAGGGGAAGATGCTACTACGGTCTCTGATGGTGCACGTTGCCCCAGTGTCTTAGTCTGAATTTATTATTAACTAAAACAAAACGAAACAAACAAAAAAAAAACCCAACGGAAAAAAAACGCCAACCAAACAAACCCCAAAAAAGAACTGCTGGTAAGGATTCCATTTTAATCCTTTTTAATACTGTTTAGAAGTTCTTCACCAGGGAGGAGACGTGGGCAAGGCCTGGGGCAGGAAAGGCATGCTCTCTACCGGTCTCATGGCTATGTTTAACGGACCAGCTAACGTCATCGGTGTGGGGAGGTTCATGGGAGAGGTTATAGTGACTGGATGCGCTATATTCACTGGAGCGGTTACTGGGGTGGGTAAATTGACTGGTGTGGTGAGCGTTAATGGAGATGTCATGGATAATGGACTTGTTATAGTTACAGGATGCCCTAGGTTCATCGGACTGGATATATTAACTGCACTTGATACATTTACTGGACTTCTCATGCTCATTGCAGCTGCCACTGTGACTGGGTTTGTGATAGTCCCAGAAGCCACAGAGGACGTTATATTGAATGGAGTAGTAAGAGTCACAGGCGTAGTAGCAGCAGTGGAGGTTTGGCACAAGTTAGCAGCTTCTAAAAATGAGACATAAAAAGACAAAAAGTTTTTAACACATAAAAAACCATGGACAAGATTTAAAAAAAAAAAACAACCCAAACAAAACAAAAACAAAAACCAAACAAGAACAGGTACAAATTCTGGAATAATTTTCTTTAGGAATTATTAGTAAGTTAAAACTGTTAACATTCTATAGCCTACAAGAAATACAAACTCTCATGCAGTTCATTTCAAGTCAATATTTTTTTCCTGAGAAGTCAAGCGAGGTTGTCTTATAAAGAGGGTTTCGATGTTCATAAAAACAGTACCGTACAATCAAAAAAATCCTCCCAAGAGGAACATTATAAATAGAGGAGAGAGTGTACATACCGAATGGTACGTACTCTATAGCCTTCTCAAAGGTGAACTGACATTCTGTGAAGGTTTTAAAAAGTCATTATTAGGGACTGATAAGCAAAGCTCGTTTCAATATTTACCTGCTTATTTCAGTCTTAATTATTGCTACTAAATTGTTCCACTGATCACAGTACTTCTACTTAGCAATTTGCAAGGCTACCCAGTCAGTGTATCTTTCAACCCCCATTATGTCCTCAGCTTTCACATAACCTACAGCTCCACACCAAGTTCTTTTGTTTTGTGGTTTTCTGGATGTTCTTTGTTGTTTTTTTTACTTTGTTTTGCAGTAAGCAGGAATTAAGTGCCGAACAAGGAAAACCGAGGAGACCAGTGCCCGGCCCTGCTGCCGGTGGGCTCTGGCAGGGCTGGGCAGTGGGGGTCCGGGACGCGGAGGGCTCGCCAGGCATCCGTCAGCACCACCGGCCAGCTCCCCACACTAGAAGGCTCCAAAAACAGAAGCGGGTCGGTGGACGTGGGTAAAGGGAAGGGATGACTGCTAAAGAAACCGACAAAAATATATTCTACATCAACGTTACGGCACGTCTAAGTCGTGTCTTATTCCACATTTGTAGGGTAGGACACCAAGCTCAGTCTACACCCACGTTTCAGGAGGTAAGCCAGGAGCAAAGAGTCCACTCTTGCCACTCGGGCAATACAAATGTACCAAGACAGAGTTAACTTTGAAAGCAACATTAGCCCCATTCAAGGGTTACTGTTGGTTCTTCAAAG